TTTTTTTATTTTGATCAAACACTGTAAAATGGCTCCATACATTACTAGTACGTCTATCTGTCGCATCCATTTAGTGAAAATGACTTTTTATTACACTATATGGACAATTTTTTAACCTCTTCATAAAGTGGATGAAATTCATTTTATCCACATTGTGTAAAATTACTATACCTAATTGGGTTTTAAATAAATATAAAAGTTGCTTGTTATAATTTGTAACTCGTACATTGTAATTGTATAAACTAGTTTTTCAGTCGATCTGATAATTTCAAGATAAGATATAAAATGACTGTATAGATATATAGTAATATACAGATGTACATTGTACAGATAGCGTATGATCCCGTTGACAATTTTATTGTAATATAGTGTAATAAAAAGTCATTTTCACTAAATGGATACATTTCATGAAGTGGATGTCCACTTCATGAAATGAGCGATTTCACTAAATGGATGCGACATATATATATTAAAATACTTCTTAAGGATAAGTTGTACCGAATGAATCTATTCATAACGACTTACAAATCGAAACAGTAAGTAAACTTTCAAAACGTCACTATAAATCCTTTGCATAAAACTGTCATCGAACACTAATCACCTAATTCAAAAAATGCCCTCAAATCTTATCCCTGACCAACCTCCTTGTAGACTGAAAAGAAATTGGAATCGTGACCTACTACTCTGAAAAAAAAACAACATCAACTATACAATCATCATTGCTACGCCTAGATATATAATATAATAAAACCTAAATATTTGTGTGAGGGGTATTACCTGCAGTGTGTAACTACTGACTTCCTCTATCATGTGAATCATGCTATGTTCATTTCTAATTGTTATCATAATGACTTATTGTACAGATCATGTGTATAGATTGTCTTTTTCTTAATAAAAAAAAAAGGATAAGTTTTATTTTATATTAAATAAGAAGACATGTTAAACATTGTAAAGTACAGTCAAACTTGTTTAACTCGAAGTTGTAGGGACCGGAAAAAGAGTTTGAGTAATTCATAAAACTAAACAAATACAAAAGTAGGTCTAGGGATCGGAGAAAAAGTTCAAGATATGAATGATTTCGAGTTAACCAAGTTCAACTATATTTATTATTTGTTTGAACCATTAAATTCTAAACCTTACACCATTTAATTTACAGCTAAAATCAAATAAAAATAATAACTTTTAGTTAAGTGTATCAAAAAGATGTCGCAAAAATATAATTCACTAAAAAAAATATTAAAATATTAAAGGATACACTGGCTACATTATAAAAAATGTAAAAAACAAAAAAAATTAATTACTTTGATGTACGTAGAGCTTATGTGAAAAGTGACCAGAAAATATTGGTTTGGGAAGAATTTTGAAACCACTCCGCCCCTGTAGGTAGCAAATGTGTAGTCATATAATTAATTATGCTATTATTATTTAATCAATCTTAATTTAAACTAAAAGTTTGAAAAAACATTTGCAGAAATACTCGGAAGTAATTTTTATTTTAAGCTGTATATCTGTATTTTATGACTCTCTGTTGAATTCTTGCTTATATTATATAACATTTTTATTTGTATCGACTTGCTATAGGTAGTATATATTGTAGACATACTTCAAATGAATTATGTTCAGTGAACAATTTACCGAAATACGTTTTCTTGTATAGTTCTATAGTTGTACTTTGTATTTTAGTGTGTAATGCATAAAATGCTTGTTCATATATATTTGTTATCTACCATAATAACTAAAATGGCTGGGATTTTTATGCAAAGGCATCTTTTTTCTGGTATTTTGAAAAGTTGATTCGTAAGTTAAATGTGTTTTGGGTGATTAAAATATACTATAATAATATTTTATTTTAATATGTATATATTTTTAGTTTTTAGAACATTTTTCACGATTTTTTCATAAAATGAACGAAAATTGTTGCGATTAAAAAGAGACTTTCGGTAAACTGCCGATGGTACAGATAATAATTTAAATAATTTATACAGCCACAGATATACATAAATATAGCACAACTGACAAGTTATCGTCGAGACGTCGAATGTCGATAATAATTTTATCATAGGTAGACCCCTAGGTCCATAGATATTATATATAGCCTTTCCGCTCAAATTATCACCGTTATAAACCTTGTTATACCGTTTTATAATTATTATAACATTTCATCATTGTATCAATATTGTTATATTTTATTATATATATTACACGGACAAAGATATATAACTTAGTCCGTGGTAGTACACTAGTACCATCAAAAATTGTGCATTAATTGTTTCTTAAGTGTTATCAGTTATCACCTTATCTGCTCTACATCCATGAATTATATTCATAGATAATAAAGATCATAGATAATATCTGTGATTATGTTATATTATCTATATATGATTGTATAACGGTCATTTGCGCGATGGTGTTTCGGCGGTAGATGGCGTGACGGTTTGTCATTGTTTAACTGATTATAAATTGTGAGAATTCAAAATTAAAATGTGAATTTCGAATATTTCGATTACTCGGTATTCCAGACCCCAGTGGCCAGTGGCCAGTTCATAGAAAAAAGATAAGTTGTAGTCCAGTGCTCCAGTGTGGCAGTGCCCAGTCTCCCGGTCTCCGGTGTTCGAATATTCGACTACCTACTTCGACTTAAATCGACTCACAACCACCAAATCAAAATCTGTATACCCTGAATTCATTAGTTAATAGTGGTGATTAAACAACTCTAAGTAATTAATTTTAATAATACACTTGTCGATGTTTATTGATCACGATTCACCCCGATCCATTTTTAATTGTTTCAAGAGTTCAGTAATTATTGGGTGTTGATTGTCAATCGATTTTGCGTTAGTCTGTCCACTTTTCGTGTTATAATTAAATTGTCATTTACCGACTTCCAGTGAGAAGTGAATAATCCGTTTCTATCGCATCAAGTCTACTTACAGTTAACTCCCAAGAAAATATTTTTTTTTTTTTTTGTCAGACTTCGATCTAAAATGCCACGTACAAAGAGAAGAACTGTCAAACGTTCGCTTGCCGACATGAACATGACTGCTGTGAATGCAACGATGGCCAATCAATCGAAAAACATGAAAGAAATTCTGAGTGAATTTGATTGTGAAAGTAATATGAATACGATCTTGTCTATAATCCAACCTGTATGTTTAATTTTTGTTTTCAGAACAAAATATTGAAGATTATTTTTCTGACATATTTGATAACCAAAGAAATTTGATCGAAAATTCATTTTTAATGACAAAAATGAATTTGGGTGACTTACTGCATTGTAATCTTTATGACACTGTGAGTTGCATAACATTATTCAATAAATCTATTTCGTTAAAACATAATACATTTTAGATACTAAATCTATTACTTATTGAATTATAATCAAATAATATTACCTAATGCCTATACTATTAAGAGTATTCCAAAGAAGTTATCATCACTTATTTTTACAGATTTTTAAACAATATCCAACAAAATCAAACAGTGGAACTAAACAAACCCTGGAACGACCTTCAAAGCCAGTTACTAAAACTACTGTAAATAGGACGACCAGACAAAAAAGTAGTGAGTTTCTATTAAAAACTAACCTCATATTTCAGTATTTATTTTTAATTCTCCAATTTAAATGATTGCAAAGTAATTTTTGTACCGATTTATCTTGATTGTATTTTGGCTCTACCATAAACTATAGTTTCAGATTAAAAATTTATGAAATATTGTTAACAAAAATTGATAAAATTTATTMAGAAATCTAATAGATTTCAACATTTCTAAATTATCTATAAATTTAATGGTCATTCATTGTATAAGATGAAAAGTAATGATATAAAAAAGATAAATTAAATATATTAAAGATGGTCTAACTTTTTGGTAACTAAAGGTATCAGTCAAATATTTTTATTTCAATCTTACAATGTTAACAAATGTTCATTTTTTTTAGTTTTTCCCAATTATTTTAAAAGTAACAATATAATTTTCAATTTTGTTCCATTCAAAGAAACAAATAAAATGTATTATTTGTTATGAGAAATGTTCAAGAAATTTGATAATCTGAGAATATTTTTATTATTAGATAGATAAGTTTCTTAAGACAGAAAAAAAATGAAAATAAAAAACACACTTCATAGTAAATCAATATATTTCTTACTACGCTCAGTACCATAAAGCAGGGGCGTATTTATGGGGGCGGCTGAGGGGGCTTCAGCCCCCCACCCGAAATCAAGGAATTGTTTATGAAGTCTACTTATTATGTCCTATCAGATGTAAATTTTCTAACTCATATTGGCTGAATTGGGAATTTCAGTTGGAGAAAATACTACAGCCCCCCCACCAAAAAAAAAAATCTAAATAAAGTTTAAAATATCAAAATAAAACAGGTATATTGAATGTAAAAACCATAAACATATATATATGTCCCTGATTTTCCATAATACAAAATATATAGCCATATAGGTATTAATTTATAATATATTAAATTATTAAGTCATAGGGCATGTAATCTTCCAGTTCAGAGATTTAAATTCTTAGTATTAAGAAGTAGTAGTGGTTTTAAAAAAGTTATAATACAAAACAGATATTTAAAATCTGTATTACTTGCATATAAATTTCAGTAATTTGGTTTAAACTATAATATCTAATTGTATTTATTTTTCAGTGTCTAGTTCAACATCTAAGACTAATKGTTCTGCTACTGTAACAAAACAACGTAATACAACACGTCATGTTAATGATAAGCCACTATTAACAGAAACAATTGAATCTAGATTTAAAGTAAATAAAGTATACAATAATTTAATTTAGGTAAACTAAGTATTAATATTAAGTCTTGAAAATAGAATACCTATATTAGTCTTCCAATCATGTAGAACATAAATGTATGTACATTTTTAATACTTTTCTCTTAAATTGTACAAGTTTTTAGCTGTTCTTAACTTAATAAATTATTAATTAAATGGTTAACAAGTAAGGGTTAATATGACAAAAACATGATTTGAGTACCAAAATTAATAGACTAACTTCTGTATTGACTGTTATGAAAAAAAAACTTTTTTTGCAATTATATATTTAAAAAGAGAGGGACCAGTCCATTGATAATAATCTGCATTTCCCCATAGGCCGATCCACCCTTKATCTTAATATTGGAAAATAGTCAAAATTGACTTTTCCCTTTTACTCACACACTGTCCAATTATTACAATGTTATTGTGAATTAATTCTGTCATTTTTGTAAGATCAATATTACTAATTGTCATTGTAATTGTGTTAAGTAGTGATATTATAATAGAATGGTTACAATTGGAAAATAATGATAAATCAGCATTTTTTACTGAATACAATATTTATATCTGAGATGATCATCTTAAGAAAACTATTATTTATTGTCAGTCTTAATATTTATTAAAATACCTAACCACATTATATGTTCAGCAGTTTCAATTTTATGTTGTTCCTTAATATTACAGTAAATTTGCCTATTATGTAACTTAAAAGTTAGAACATTGTCAGTGTTTTGCCATTGGAATTTCATGATATTTTAGTTTTTAAGCAAGTTGTGAGTGTTTAAAATATATATATTTAAAAACGCTCATCTTGCTAAAAATTTCAATAAGTTTCATATAAGGTCAATTTTCTATAATAATAAAGCTAACACTCAATTTTAACTATTGTATGTATACCTAAGTATTTTATGTGTGGGTATGATAAGACACTAGCGGGCCTGAAATCATCTTAAATCTCAAAATATAACAATATTGGTCTGCATTCAGAACTTAAAATAATCATATTTTATTACTTTTCATTGTCAGATCATATAAAAATAAAAAAAATAAATGGTCAAATATACTTCATAAGTACTAGAATAACTTACCCATATTTAATTAGAACCTAACCTTTTTTTGAATATTGATTGCTGTCATTTTTAAATTTTTAGATGCATATTTAGTTAGATTTCCTAATTGTTTGGTTTTTTTATTTATTTTTTTTAATTAATTTGTTAATTTTAATCTTATTAATAAATAAAAAAATTATTTCAGACTCCAATTAATCGACCTCCTGTACATTCTTCAGCAACAGTTACACCAAAAGTAAATATGCATGAACCAATATCAATGATGCGACGTCCTAATCAAGGAGAAGTTGCGCTTTCTATGACTGGAAGTCCACTCATGGTTTCATCTGTTTCTAGGGATGATATGGCCACAGTCAGTGTACCACTAGCCAATGGAAATGTAACTACAATTTAAAATCTTTCAACATAATATTATCTGGTATAAAAATTGTAGACTCAATATTTGTTTTTATTTTTAGATTCTTTCAATATTACCTAGAGCTGGTGCTACTATGGACATATCATTTGATGAACAGACTAAAAGTGAACTTCTTCTTCTTAAGGGGAACATTGAAGGGCTGTTGAAAATGAATAGAGGTTTATGATTGTACAATAAGGATATATTTTCTACTGATCTGAAAAAATCACTGGTTTTTTTATTGGGGGAAGGGCAGTGTTAGGATTTGAGGAGAGATTATAATTTTACTAGGTATTTTATACCTACAAGGCTACAACCTCTAAAAAATATTTTGAAAAAGCTTTGGGGGGCAAATTCTCCAGCTTGCCACCACTCCTGACGCCTATGACTACCTATAATTTAATATTCTAATATTAATATATGTTTTAATTATTAATTAATTAATTAACTTTACCTTAACCATAAATGAAATAACATATACTAATAAAAAAAAAATGTAAGTGGTTTAGTTTGAATGCTTTTAAACATAAAAAATGAATTCATCATGATTCATTTAAATTTGTAATATTATTAATAGACTAATATTTTTTATACTGTTTATTTTTAAAGTTGAATCTTATTCTTGTGTAAAATAGTAAAATAGTAAAAATTATTTTATTAATTTAGCAAAGGTATATTTAATTATATACACTTGAAAGTTTATATAAAAATAGTGTTTTTAGTTTGATTCAGCTCGCTAAAGTAGTTTTAGGTAAGCATTGTATTAATTTAAAAAGGACTTATTACATTTTTTTTGTAAAATTTAATTAAATTTAGTAAAATAAATAAAATTGTAGAGAATGTTTTAAATGGCTATATTATTATTTTTAACTTAAAAATGTAAAAATTGTTTTAAAACTGGTATAGTTCTATGTCAACATAACAAATTGTTAACTACATTAATATAATTGGCTTATTTGTAGTTCAAAATTTTAAGTTTTAATGAATTATAAGCCGATTCGTATCTACCAGTATAGTGTATATTACGTTCACCTGGCACTTATAGTACAGTGGTTCTCAAACTTTTTTGTTCGCGGAGTCCTTATATACTCCTAAAAAAAATTACGGAGCCCCAAAAATCAGAAATGTCTATATGAGGTAACAATAATTCATAAAAAATGATGTCAATTGTAAATGAATTGCTTTTTATTTTTATTTTCTGTAAAATACGAATATATAAAAATTATTTAATTAATATTAATAATTTTAATTTAATTAATATAGATATTCTCGGGGAGCCACGGAGCTCCTAGACTACTCTCAGTAGCACTCTACAGGAGCACAGTTTGAGAACCGCTGTTATAGTACAAAATAAAATTACTAAAAACCCAAATTTTGTTTTACAGCTTTGAAACTCATATCACTTGATTTTAAATTACATATCCTTTACTATCAAAGCGTTTTAGGTCACCTGGTCAAGCAATTGGACTTGTAGTAGAAAATCAATGGATTACTGTTATCAGTTTAGGCAGTTTGGATGCAAGTCCATATTATTTTGTGACAATTTGTAATTATTTTTAGGTTAATTAAAATTATATATATATGATTAGTTCGCAGCTAGGAAATGGATTTTATTAGCCAGACAACAGGCCAGAATTTTTTGTACCACCCATTGATGTTGGGAATTCTAAAAAAAAGGGTGCACCAAAACAACGGTTGTATAGATTTAAAAATGTACCTAATCACTTACAAATATATTTATAATTAGAAATAGTCATGCCTGCAGGTTGTCATTATTTTAAAAGATTTATTTTTTTTTAAGGAAACTTCCGAGGTCATTGCGGCGTTTCTTATTTATTAAAAAAAAAAATTTAATAATATTAATACTGAAATTATACAATTAGCATTGTTTAGTTTTGGTGTATACTATGAAGATTTGAAAATTGAGAATTACATCTACAACAATCCGGCTAGCATTCAAATCACCATTAAAACTATGAAGGTTAATAATATGTTATGCCATGATGACAGCTTTGCTTCACTGGAACAGTTTATGAATACAAATTCCAATTTGTACAGTACAGCAAAAGCGTATGAATACCTTCATACAAAAAAATAGTATTAAAGTAACAATGTATTCAGTTGTTTATAATAATATTCAATATTATTTACAATAGCTAATATTTAATTTTTTTATATGCAAAGTTATAATAGAAAACATAAAACAAGAAAATATCTTTGATGTCAGTGTTATGTTTAAAGATACACTAGTTTTAAAAATGGTTAAACATCAACTGTATAATTTCAATATACCATACTGGGTATAGTGTAAGTTAGTTGCTTTGCCCAGAATAAATAAMAAAGAATTTATCTAATAAATGGATTGTTTGTTAATAAGTGGGATATCATCATCAAATTTGTAACTGTTGAAGTGTAAGTCTTGTATTCTTGTATAAGTCTAGTCTAATATTCAATTTAAATATATTTCATTTCATATATTACAGCAATAATACAAATTCTGTAACAGAACACACAAGTAAGGCAATACTGTTTCACTTTATACCCTGCCAATTAAAAAGTGTTATGATTTTTTATATACTTTGGACAATTTGAAGAGAGGAATTACCACGCATAACTGTTATTCTTATTATTTGTTGATAAGGTTTCAGTTTTTAAAATTTGTCCAATATTTAAAGCTATATACAAAAAACCTGTATTTTGATGTCAATAATGCTCATTTGTAATATTATTTAATTTATTAAACATATAACCTAATATAACATTAAACCTAACCGGTTTTGATATAATTTTATGCAACAGGTGTCTCGATGAACATAACTCATCAGAGTCATCACACTCAATGGCTAAGTAATAGAGTTTGACTCAACTTTAAATACAGATCTGGATTCACCATTTTATTCATATGATGAAATGTTGGTTCTGATGTTTCTTCAGAAATACATCAAAAATTCTGATTCCCAATTTCATACAGTAATTAATCAATACTAACCTAATGAATTCTATTTATCAATAATAAAACATATTTACATGCTATATACAAATCTGGAAAACTAAAATTAACGTCATCAAAGAGAAAACAAGGCTTATTTTAAAAACTAATTTCGATGTGGAATATATGATGCTCCCTAACTTTATCGACATATATTATACTTTAATTAATGAATACAAAAGAACTGTTACTGAGGCTGTAAAGAGTATTAACATTGACCCCCAATGCTGATTGAAAAGTAAGGTCATGACAGAATTTATAATTACAGAAAAAAAAGATATCTAGACATGTTTGGCACCAGCATCCTTATACAAAAAGTATATTATTATATAATATAATTAATATATTTTAATAATCATAATCTTACATTAATATAGGTGTTTTATACTAAGGACAAAATTTGATGAACATTTATTTTAACTTTCATTAGGTACATTGTCTTCGAGAACAGTCATAGGGTATTAAGGATAAGTTTTGTTTTTATTTTCACTTATACATATTAAAATTTTAAACTGTAGACTTCTAAATGATTAACAACAAATTCATTTTTTACAAAATGATTACTTTGGTAAATTCACTAATACACATGTTACTGTTCAAATACATTTTATTTTATTAGATTAAAATATACTTAAACATGTAAATAATTTGGTGTTAAACTGATTGTTGCCAATGGCCATAGTTGCCGAGGCTTAGTTCAAATAAAAAATAAAATAATATATACTTTATGTGTTGTTACATTTAATAACATGCAGTCTCACAAAGGTTTTGTATAAATCCGGTTTTGAGGGATATTCAGACATTTAGCAACGAATGTTTTACTACACCACATTACATAACCTTAGGTAATTTTAGTAAGCATATGTATTAAACATATATTAAATTGCTGCTGTTTGTTGAGTCATGAAGAAAATGCTCAAACTCTATATCTGTAGACAGTTGTTAMACATACAATTTTTAAAAAGTTTAAATAATATACATATTCATTTGTCTCACACGAAGGTGTGTCATAGAGATTATTACATAAATCTGATATTTACGAAACACAGCTTAAAATTGGTCTGTTCTAACCTGAATCTAAACTTTTTGCAATAAAATAAAAAAATATTTACAAAATGCTTTTTACAATCTATTAAATTATTTATATTGTTATTAAAATTAAAACACAATTGTTCACTATAATATTCAAAAATAATTACAGCCATATTTTTAAGCAAGGTTTCAATGATTATTAAATGGAATTATCAACAATGTGAAAATCTCAGAAATGAACCATTGTAATAAAATTGCTATTCTTATTAAATAATGGATATGTACATGTTAAAAATTTAAGCAGAACAAAAAATGTTTTAGTTGACATATAAAGTTATAAAAAGAATTATTGAGTAAATATTTATATTTTATCACCTAAATATTTTTTTAGTTCTCAGTTGAGTTGTATATTTGATGCATTATTCAATATGTATTCAACCGCGTCAAGAGCAATATGCACTGGTAATTTTGCAGCGAACAAATATATAACTCTAACAGTATTCTGAAGTTTCCATTTGGTCCACCCAACTTCTTTACTTCGATCAAAAATATCACTGTCCTCTTCTTCGATTAATGATTCTTCTTCCATAGTGATATTTCGATGTTGTAAAATTTTAGAATATTCTTTACACAACACACTAACTAATGACTTTATAAAATTATTTATATTCCTTTGAATAATTTCACCATAATTGGTGCAATTATTTAAACAGTGTTTTTCATCTTGACTATTTAACGGCACTAGACCTGTATCACTGGCCTTTTCAATGGCTGAAAGAAATTCATGCTTAGAAGAATAATAGAAAAATAAATACATATTGCGTAAGACATGAAATGTTGACATGGGACCAATTGGTTCTAGTGTACAAAAGTTCTTATTGTTTAATTCCTCCAAATATGAGTACACACGATCATAAAAATTTTTATTTACAATATTACACTTGTCATCAGTCATAGCACGACCAAAAACATCATAATAATTGTAAATAGCAAAACTCAGTATATTATTCATAACACCGTATGCTGCCTTGTTTGACGTCAAGCTATAAAGTTTAAAGGCAACTTCGGGTTTATTTGTTTCCAGGGTTAATTCCAGTGTCTTATCGATTATTGTTGTAACAGTGTCCATATCGAAAATATTGTATAAAATACTGGTTTCTTTCATA